TACACATAGTCCTCCCAAGATCCATCCATGTTGTCCCAAATGACAATATTTTATCTTTTTTATGGCTGAGTAGTCTTCAGTTTTGTATGGACCACATCTTCTTTATTCAGTCATTCATCAAAGGGCACTTTGGTTGTTTCCATGTCTTAGCTATTGTGAATAATGCTGCAGTGAACATGGGGTTCATATATCTTTATGCATAAGTGTTTTTAGTTTTGCAGGTAGATACCCAGAAGAAGGATTGCTGGGTCAAATGGTAGTTCTATTCTTAATTTCTGAGGAACCATCACACTGTTTTCCATAGTGGCTGCACCAATTTACATTCCCACTAAGAGTACACAAGTGTTCTTTTTTTAACATCATCCCTGACGCTTGTCAATTCTTTTCTTTTTTTAAAAAAATCCTCACCCAAGCATATGCTTATTGATTTTAGAGAGAGGGGAAAGGGGCCAGAGAGAGAGAGCATTAATTGGTTGCCTTCCAATATGTCCCCTGTGTAATCGAACCTGCAGCCTTTCGATATATGGGATGCGCTCTAGCCGACTGACCCACACCAGCCAGGGCTTAATTCTTTTCTTTTTGATAAAAGCTATTCTGATAGTTTTGAGACGGTATCTCATTATGGTGCTGATATGAATTTGCGGTATTAAGCATTTTTTCATGTATCTGTTGGCCCTCTGTATGTTTTCTGTGAAAAAGTATCTATTCAGATCTTTTGACCATCTTTTAATTGAAAATTTTCTTGTTTTTGAGTTGTACTTATGAGTTCTTTAAATACTTTTAAAATTAGCACCTTATCAGAGGTATCATTTGCAAATATGATACCTTCTTTCTTTCGGTTGGTTTCCTTTTTGTTTTGTTGATGGTTTCTTTTGCTGTACAGAAGCTTTTAAGATTGAAATAGTCCTATTCATTTCTTTTTTTTTTTTTTTTTTTTTTTAGCTTCTCTTGCCTTTAGGGTCAAGTTCACAAAATCCCAAGGTCCATAAGTTTAGTGCCTGTGTTTGTTTTCTGCCATGTATTTTATTGTTGCAGGTCCTACGTTCAAGTCCTTCATCTATTTTGAGTTAACTTTTGTGTATGGTGTCAGTGGTCTAGTTTCATTCTGTTGTGTGTGGCATTCCAGTTTTCCTACCCCTATTTATTGAAGAGACTGATTGTCCTTTCTCCAGTGTGTGTTTTTGGCTCCTTTGTCAAAAAGTAGTTGCCCATATAGGTGTGGGTTTACCTCTGGGCTTTCTGTTGTGTTCCATTAATTTCTGTGTTTGTTTTTCTGCCAATACCGCACTGATTTTATTACGACAGCTTTATAGTGTAGTTTGAAGTCAGGGAGTGTGATATCTTGGGCTTTCTTTTTCCCTGGGCTTGCTTTGACTATTGGGGTCATTTGTGGCTCTATATAAATTTGAGGATTTTTTTTTTTGTGCTATTTCTGAAAAAATACCATTGGGACTTTGGTAAGGATTGCATTAAATCTGTATACTGCTTTAGTTAATTTGGCCATTTTAACAATGTTAATTCTTCCAATCCATGAACACAGAATAGCTTTGTCTTCAGTTTCCTTCAATAATGTCTTGTAATTTTCAGAGTACATAGTACAATCTTCACCTCCTTTGTTAAGACTGTTCCTAGGTATTTTATTCTCTTTTTGTAAAAAATATATTTTTATTGATTTCAGAGAGGAAAGGAGAGGGAGAGAGAGATGAAAACATCAATGATGAGAGAGAATCATTGATTGGCTGCCTCCTGCATGCCCCTGCCCCAGCCTGCAACCCTGGCATGTGCCCTTGACCGAAATCGAGCTCGGGACCCTTCAGTCCGCAGGCTGACACTCTGTCTGTCCACTGAGCCAGACGAGCTAGGGCAGTATTTTATTCTTTTTGTTGTGATTGTAAATGGGATTGTTTTCTTCATTCTCTTTCTGATACTTTGTTGTTAATGTATAGGAAGGCCACAGATCTTTTATATTGGTTTTGTATTCTGCAACTTTATTGAATTTGTGTATGTGTTACAATAGTTTTTTTTATAGAGTCTTTAGGGTTTTCTAAGTATACTATCATGTCATCTGCAAATAGTGACAGTTTTACTTCTTTTTTTAATATATATTTTTATTGATTTCAGAGAGGAAGGGAGAGGGAGAGAGAGATAAAAACATCAATAATGTGAGAGAATCTTTGATCGGCTGCCTCCTGCACACCACACACTGGAGATCAAGCCCGAAACCCAGGCATGTGCCCTGACCGCGAATCGAACAATGACCTTCTGGTTCATAGGTCAACGCTCAACCACTGAGTCACGCCAGCCAGGCAGTTTTACTTCTTCATTTCCAATGTGGATGCATTTTATTTATTTTTCTTGCCTCTTTTCTGCTGATAGGACTACCAGTACTATCCTATATAATAAAAGGCTAATATGCAAATTTTCCACTGGGAGTTCGGCCGACCGGGAGTTTGACTTCTTGCTATGATGTGTACTGACCACCGGGGGCAGAACGAAGGAAGGCCCGGGCCAGTAGCTGGGGGGAAGAAGAGACCCAGCTGGCAGCCAGCAGCCAGTGGAAGGAAGGCCCTGGCCAGCCTGTTCGCCAGCCAGGCCTAGGAACCCTACCCATGCACGAATTTCATGCACCAGGCCTCTAGGCCTATATAATAAAAGGCTAATATGCAAATTGACAGAATGAGAGAATAACTGGTTGCTATGATGCACACTGACTACCAGGCGGCAGATGCTCACTGCAGGAGCTGCCCCCTGGTGGTCAGTGCTCTTCCACAGAGAGAATGCTGCCCAGCCAAAAGCCAGGCTCACAGCTGGCAAGCACAGCAACAGTGGCAGCAGCCTCTCCTGCCTCCGTGGCAGCACTAAGGATGTCTGACTAACAGGCCTAAGCCATGAGTCGGACATCCCCCAAGGGCTCCTGGACTGTGAAAGGGCCCAGGCTGGGCTCAGGAACCCCACCCGCCCTTGAGTGCGCGAATTTCGTGCACTGGGCCTCTAGTATCAAATAAAATGGCAAGAGTGGACATCGTTGTCTTGTTCCTGATCTGACAGAAAAAGCTGTGTATGTGTGGTCTTATCATATGATGCCTTTATTATATTGGGGTACTTTTCTTCCATACCCATTTTTTTTTTTATCATAAATGGGTTTTGAATTTTGTCAAATGCTTTGCATTTATTGAAATGTCTTAAGATTTTTATCCTTCATTTTATTGATGTGGTGTATCACATCAACTGATTTGCAGATGTTGAACTATCCTTGCCTCTCTGGTATAAATTTCGCTTGATAATAATGCATGATTTTTTTAAATGTACTATTAAATTCAGTTTGCTACTACTTTGTTGAAAAGTTCTACATCATGTTCATCACAGATATTAGCCTGTAATTTTATTTTTATTTTTGTGTGGCATTTTTGTCTGGTTTTGGTATCAGGATAATGCTGGCCCTCCTGTAAAATGTGTTTGAGAGCCCTAGGTGGTGTGGCTCAGTGGATAGAACATCGGCCTGTGGACGGAAGGATGCCAGGTTTGATTCCGGTCAAGGGTACATGCCTGGGTTGCGGGCTCGGTCCAACGTGCAGGAGGCAGCCAATCAATGATTCCCTCTCATCATTGATGTTTCTCTCTTCCTCTCCCTCTCTGAAATCAATAAAAATATTTTAAAAATAAAGTGTGTTTGAGAGAGTTCTTCTGTCTACTGTTTTTTGGAAGAGTGTGAGAAAGATTTGTGTTAATTCTTCTTTGAATGTTTAACGGATTCACCAGTGAACCATTTGGTCCTAGACTTTTGTTGGGGGGTTTTTGATTACTGGTTGAGACTCCTTGCTAGTCATCAGTCTGTTTGGGTTTTTTATTTCATTGTGATTCTGTTATGGTTCTAGGAATTTATCCATGTCTCCTAGGTTGACCACTTTGTTGGCATATAATTTTGTTCATAGTAGTTTCTTGTGAATCTTTGTGTGGTATCAGTTGTAAAATCTCTTTCATTTCTGATTTTATTTACTTGAGACATCTCTCTTTTTTGTGTGATTCTAACTAAAGGTTTGTCGATTTTCTTTTATCTTTTCAAAGAACTAGCTCTTAGTTTTCTATTATCTTTTTATTCTCTATTAATAATTTTTTAATTCCTTTTTATGAATTTCAGAGAATTTTAAGAGGGGAAAATAATTTAACTTTAAAAACTTGATATTTAAGCCCTAGCTGGTTTGGCTCAATGGTTTGGCCTGCGGACTGAAGGGTCCCAGGTTCGACTCTGGTCAAGGACACATGCCTGGACTGCGCACATGCCCAGATCCCCAGTAGGGGGCGTGCGGGAGGCCGCTGAGCAATGATTCTCTCTTATCATTGGTGTTTCTATTGTTTCTATCTCTTGCCTTCTTCCTTTCTCTAGGAAATCAATAAAAATATATTTTTTAAAAACTTGGTATTTAAACGAATAGTTTGGCAGATCAGAGCTGTTAGGTGAAGAGGCTGCTCATCAGGAGCTTTGGGAACATGCCTGTGTCGAGGCCTGAGCTCTGCCCATTTGGTCTCCGGGTTGCAGAGTCTCACTGCTCCCTCCCCTTCCCCCTTCCCCTCAGCCCCACATGATTTCAATGTGCAGCCATCTCTGAGAGCCACTGAACTTGCTAATGAGTAAATTCTAAATTCTGCATCAAAAGTCAGATTATTTTCTTTATATTTTCTCTGATGCTTGATAACATATTTCTTTTTTGGTGGGTTGGGGATGGGAAGGAATATGAAACGATAGATAGGCCTGTAATAGAAAATATCTTTAAAATATTTGTTAAGTTATGCTTGCTTGTAATGGTTTTTTATCAGATTTAGATGTAATTTTCTGGTTAAATAGGTTCAACTTTCAGCACTGCCTTAATTTGCCATCATCAAGGTTTTATGAACTTTTTCCAACTGTTTGGTCCTAAAGCCTTACTAAAACATAACATTTCTTATTTTTATAATATCTATGTTAACAATAGTGTTTCTCCCCCTCCCCCTCTATTTCACAGATCATAGGTTTTGGATCTGTTAAAATTGCAGAGTTCATAGCTGTGCTAGGAATTCTGTCTATTGTGGCTCAGGTAAGTGTCATTTTTCTCATTTTTAAATATTTTTATTCTGAAATAACCGTAGGTTCACAGGAAGCTGTAGGAAGCGTTCTCAAATGTCTCCCGCACGCCTGCCTTCGTTGCCCCTGCCATGGCAGTGACATCTTGTATATCTATGGTACAATAGCAGACCTAGGAAATTGACATGGGCTCCAGATATCCAGAAATTTACTTCACCAGGAGGATGTTTCAGTGTTATTTTAATGTGGAGAAGTGAAAAGCAGAAATGAAAATCGGTAGCTGTTCCGACCTCTGCTCAAAGAAATGTGGCAGATGAGTGGGTTGGAGCATGTGTAATGAGTAAAGAACATCGATTTCTCCATCTGTTAAAGATACAGGCCCGCAAGGCTGGGCTCATGTGCCTCACATCACCCGACAGGCCTTCCCTGTGTCCTGGGGCTCCTGGGGGCTGCTCCCTGGCACAGCAGCTGGGAGCGTAGGAAAGGAGGCTACAGGGCTGCCTTGCCTACGTGTTAGGACGAACAAGGCTCACAGGAGCGCACCAAGGCAAAGACCTTTTACTCATTTTGTCCAGTGGTATCAGCAAATGTAAACTGCGTTACACTCTCAGTTGCTCATAATTTGTGGGGTTTATGTGAACTCTGGTTAGTCATCAGCCCAGACTATCTCTACTGGTTTCTAACAGAGGATGTATTTGTTAAAATCAAACTTACATCAGTCCAACTTTGCAAAACTGCTAGCCTCCAGCAGAATTCCACATATTCTGTAAATACTCGGCAGAGCCCGCTAGGCACTGGGTGATTAAGTGATTGGCGTTTCTCAGAAAAGACTGAGGCCATGTCCCTCTCAGTCACGACAGCTGGTGAATGGTTCTGTAACCTTCCTGGGGAAGTGCTAGCAAAGCACCCGATAGACAGCATTGGGGAGGAGGCCGAAGGTCCTGTGCCCCTGGAGAGCCGCGCCAGCACAGCGTGGTCCCCGTTCCCGGCTCCCTCCGCGTGCTTCTCAGGGCTCTCCTTGGCTTTGCAGACAGCCCTGCTCGCCGCCTTGATGAGGTCGCTGGGGAAGAAGAACACCGTGCTCCTGGGCCTGGGCTGCCAGGCGCTCCAGCTGGCCTGGTATGGGCTCGGGTCTCAGGCCTGGTAAGCCTTCCCCTGGGTCCTCACGAACTAGGGGAGCTTGAGCTGACAGTGGTGTGAAGGCAGCAGGGCTACTTACCCCTTTGGTGTACACAACATTTCAAAACCTGTTTGGACTTAATTTGGGGAAGGCTGAGCAAGGTGACAGGATTATTTGTAAAAACTCTCTTCACCTTCGTGGCTTTCAGTGAGTTGTTACTTAATTAAATGTGTGTGCTTCCTCCTCCAACTCCTCCAAATATTTTAAACACATTTGTCAGTTTTTAGGGACAAATGCCACCTTTCCTCCCCCGATTCCCACCAGCACAGCGTGGTCCAAAACAAAAAGACAAGGAAAAATGATAGCAGGACTCATTGCTGTAATTAGCTGAGTGACTTTATAACGTAAGAACTTGAGTTAGATTAATCCTAAGATCTCTTCCAAAATCAAGTGTATCCTGAGGTAGTTACTCCTGCTGGCATATTCTACTCCCGTAACAGGAAGGTCAGAATAAGCCCTGAGCCAGGAGAAATGACAAGAATCCCGAGTGCTGTTCTGTTATGTGGCTGGTGTCCCCAGTGCCTGGTTACCAAATCCAGAGGTCCTGTCTCTTTAAATATTAGTTACTCCTCATTCTGCAGGCATGACAGAATTTACAGAAACGAGAAATGCTTTACAGGCCAGGAGAAGATTCTTGTTCTTTAAGATTTCTGTCCGATGGACTTGGGTTCCGTAGCTGAGTCAGTCAGGCTTGTGCAGGAAAAGGCCTTTGTCGACCTGAAGGGTCTTTCCTTTAAGGACGTGCATGTCAGCCGTCCCCAAGGAAGCCTCGCCGAGCAGGTTTAAGCCGAGTTGGGGGCCCACCTTCCTCACACAGATGATGCATATGGATTCGCACTTACGTTTCCTTCATTGAGGAAAGGACAAGAGTCTAAAGGAAGCATGTCCAACGTGGGGCCGCGGGCCGCATGCCTCGTCTACTTGGCCCGTGTCAACTTTGAGTGTGACAGGCTTAGTCCAAAGGAAGCGGGTCTGGGAGTCTGCAGGTGTCGTCCTGCGCGCCAAGGCTTGCTCTGCCCGTGGGTAGCAAAAGGAGCAGCTCAAAGGTAGTGTGCAGGCCAGCCTCTGAGACAGAGAAAGTGGCATTTGTAGAAATAAATCCTTTTGAACTTCACTGAGCGTACATCTAAAGGTGGTAAAAGGGAAATCAAGGAGAACAGATTTTGAAAGAGGTAAAATAAGTAAATGAAACTTTCCCAGCCCGTGAAGTAACGAATAACTTCCCAGGTTAAAAAATATATATATATATTAGTAAAGAGGAAAGATTAATACAACGTAACCTGAGGAAACAGAAAGTATCTCATGCTCCCCCCCTGACTACGCTCTGACAGCCAGCCGCAGCCTGTCGCCTGACGCTCCCTGTCCTTGCAGGATGGTGTGGGCCGCAGGGGCCGTGGCCGCCGTGTCCAGCATCACCTTCCCGGCGGTCAGTGCCCTGGTCTCGCAGAACGCAGAGTCAGATCAGCAAGGTGAGAGCACTGTCGCCTGTTTCCCTCCATCACTTGAGACGGACCTGACGGCAACCTGAGCGGCTCTGAGCCTCTTCACCGTGTGGTCCCTCCCAGAGCCGCATCTGTTTGCTTTCCTTCCTGCTCTGAAATTACACTCATGGTTTTAAAATGTGGACTCAGCAGTTCAGAACACTAAGAAATAGAAAGAGAACTATTTTCTCTTTTTGGTTTTGACTCCTCTTTATTGTGATGCCATAAAAATTAACTAAATGATAACAGATGTCTGTTAAATAATGACGGACTAGTTAGTCAGATAGCGAGCTTGTTATTTACTCACTGTCATCACTGGGACTTCTTTAATTTGGACTCTCTCGAAGGCCATGAGCTGAATGTAGGAAGTGATTGTCCGAGAGGATGAAGAGCAGATCTGTGTGGCTGCTGGTATCGGATGCCGAGTGAGAGGCAGCATGGGGACAGCTGTGTGGAGAGGAGCGTGGGGACCCCACCCTTCTTGTGTCTCTGGTTCACCGTCAGGCATCTCCCACGACCAGAGTTCATCCTTTTCCACTTCCTCTTTCAATGACTCACCTCACTGTAGTCAGGAAGTAGTCAATTTGAAAAAAATTGTAAATTTTTAAAGGGAGAGCCCTTTAAAAAGTTTCAATAAAAACTTTATTGGAAAAGATAGTTTGCTTATTGCACCCATTTTTCCTCATCAGAAATTAGCCATCTAGTTCATAAACACATTTTAAAATAGTGGCCTCAGTCTCATAAAATAGTGGCCACAGGTTCTGTGTGTCCCCTGCCATGGCCCCCGCCAGCTGCACAGCCGTGGAGGCGCCATCCCGGGAGAAGGCGGCCCTGTGGGGCGGGCGCTGCTCGGTGCCTGACAAGTGCGCACCTGTCTTTCATGGACTAAATCCTCTTTGGCTCTTTTTATGCTCGTATGTGTTAGTACAGATGTTTCTAAATGTCCGCGTACAAAACTATTACAGCACATTGCATTGGGCTGAATAATCTTTGACCATTTTTGACCTACAGTAACATGCATGTCATACAATTCAAGCTAATTTTTTCTTTTCTTGTTAGAAACCAGAGGTATCTAGAAATTGGCACCTGTGGGGTATTTCAGTGCAGGTCTACAGGAAGATGCATCCGAAATGGGGGGTCGCCTTGAGGAGCAGTCTGTCTGGACGCTGGGCCCACACAGCATCAGGACTGTTGTGGACTCACATGCACGGGGCTGCAGGAGGCAGAGAGCAAGTTTAATTGTAAAAGCACATTAAATAAGTAGAGCAGGAAGCTCTTAATCCACAGAAAAGTGGAAATTGTCTGCAAATGGAGAAGATTAAAGTTTTTCATTTTGTTATTCCCCATTTATGAGAATATCTAGCTGTTGTGAGGAGGATTCAGTCCCTGTGGTATTTCAGAAACATCACTGTCATGTCATCTCATGGACACTAGGGCACAGAGTGACAACATTAAAAGGACACAGTAAAACCAAGAACACATTTGTGAAATGAATGAATCCCCCTGCCTCCTCAGCACGGACGCCCCAGTCCCGCTGCCTCAGTGCTCACAGTTGGTACGAGGGCTCGGTCGAGTCCCCAGTCTTGACATGCCTTCTTTTTGTTCTCACTTAGGCGTTGCCCAGGGCATCATAACTGGCATCCGAGGACTGTGTAATGGCCTGGGGCCAGCGCTGTATGGCTTCATATTCTACATGTTCCATGTAGAGCTGACTGAGTTGGAACCGAAACTGAATTCTAACAATGCTGCTTTGCAGGTAATTCGGTGATAAGTCTAGTGTTGTTACCACGAATATGTCTGACTGAACCAACCCTCTGACCCTCAGTGTGGAGCGTGTCCTTGCACATTTTTGTTTGCACAATAAGACTGTTGGACCTAGCGGTAGGAGGCTGTGCTCGGTGCTCCGGGCCTGGGGAGGGGCGGTTTCGTTGATTTGATGTCTCATATAAAAGATTTCTCTCAATTCTGTCCTCACCTACACAGTAACTCTGATCAGAACCCTGTCTTCTGGAAAAGCCCAAGCCAAATAAAATATAAAATGACCTACAATTCCAGCTAGAAATTGAACTAGAGTTTTTTTTCTTAATCTTTATTTAGTATTTTTCCCTCCTTCTAAGCAATATTTAATAGAGATTTCTATACAGAATTGGAACTAATGTTCATGTACAGAATGCATGATCTGGTATCAGAGGGTAAGATTAGAGATAAACAACTGTTACTCACAGGCTTGGGTTCAGCTGCAGAGAAGCGATGACAGCGGTGAGAGGCTGCCCCTGTGGGCTAGCGGCTCCAGGCTGGGGCGGGTGTGCCCTGACTCACGTGAAAGTGATTCTCTTGGAGGTGGTGTGGGGTTTGGGTCACCCAGAGCTAATTTTGCATTGAAAAGACTAACCAGTTCTTCATCTCCGTTTGTTTCCACACCATCAGGGAGCCCTCGTCCCAGGCCCGCCGTTTTTATTTGGGGCATGTATAGTTCTTATATCTTTCCTGGTTGCCTTATTCATCCCTGAATGCAGTAATGGGGCTAAGAAACATAGCAACAGCGTCAGCGGCACTGTGACCGACACCCCGGAGCAGGGCAGTGACGAGGACATTGAGCCCCTGCTGCCGAATGGCAGCGTCTGGGGCCTCGCTGCCTTCGAGGAGCCAGGGAGCCAGTGCACCGAGCTGTGACGGCAGAAGGGAGACCTGCAGGCGCTGTCTTTCTGAAGTCGCCGGGAGCCATACCATCGGGAGACTTTCTGGTGCTGGAGGGGAGATGCAGTGGCATCCTTTAGGGCCAAGTTTGATGAGTAACCCTCTCCCTCCTTCTGTTCCTTTTCTTCCATTCTTTTTCTTTCCGTTTGTACATTAGAACAAGTTAGGATTTGAAATACGTTGCTGCAAACAGTATGCAACTCTCACAGTTATCTGGAGTTCCGCTTTGAAATTCAAATGGAAAAGGTCACATCTCTGAGAAAGGGTGGCTTTCTGTCCTCACCTCCAGGGACGAGGGGCTGCAGGGCTGGGCGGGACTGCCATCCACGGCCAGAGTCAGGGTGAAGAATCCCTTCTTGTCTTCCTCTTTCCTGCTTCTCTGAAAGTGCACGTGGCCCACAGGTGTGGAGGAGTGGGTGCTCCTAGAGCCACTCAGCACTGGGGACCTATTGCCTTTGTTCAAAGGTCAAACAAAGCCGGGTCTTACTCCCCTTTCCTTGTCTCTGCTTAATATTCTTGGCTAGAATGAAACCCAGCATACACACCTGGGTACTCGTGATACTGATCCGTGGTGTCCTTTGCCAGTGAAGAAAATGTTTCCTACAAGTCTAAATCTTGAAGAAATAGCAATTCAGATTCCTTGACCGAGTGTCGTGGTCGGATCCGAGGGGATGTTACAGAAGCACACATCAGGCATCCGGTGCTTCTGCGGAAGTGCTCACACGGAAACTCTTCGGTGAGTGGAGGAGGAGCAGGGAGCAGTGAGCGGTGCCGCGAGTTCCCGGTGCAGACTGGGTGCGGGACTGTTTGTCCCTCCCACACCGTCCTCTCGGTTCTCGGTCATCACCTCCTGCCTTAACTGCCCTGTGTGTACGCGTCTGTGTTCAGTGGGTCTCTCTTTCCACCTGTGTGTCTGACATTTGAATCTCTTGGGAATATGCACATCAAATTCCTTTCTGCAAAGGGTGGTTTAGGAAACTCAGTTTCACAGTAAGTGTCTTGCTAATTTTTCAAGATGTTTTACAGACAAAGAAAACTACAGATTTACATGCATTTTGTTGCAACAGTAAATGAACCCTTCACTAGGCCTACCTTGTGCCTGTGAAGGGTTTATAGATACGAAATATATGTAGGTATTTTTAAGGGGTTTTAAATTTTTTTGATGGAGTGCTGTGCAAATCAAGTATTTATAAATGTAATGAAGGTATTGACAAAAAATATATGTAACTTTTATAAAGGATTATTATGTACTGCTTGAATACATTTAAAAGAAAATATATTTTGAAACCTGTTCTGCTATGAACAAAAATGACATATCTTTTTACTATGCTGTTGGTTTAAGTTAAGCTTCCTGATGCACAATAAATTGTACTGGGTACTTTTATGTCTTTTGTGCTTCTTTAAAGTAAATAGTACCATTGCTCTTTGGGTTCTCTTTTGGGTGGCTTTCAACTAAAATAAATTGCTAATCTTTAAGCTGATGCAAAATGTATGTGTATTTTCAAAGTTTAATTTTTAACAAACTTCCTTAAAAACTCCCTTTAGTAACAATGATCACAGATTTTTTAATCTTTATTGTTGAGAATATTACAGATGTCCCCCCCTTTCTTCCCCCTTGCTCCCTCCACCCAGTTCCCACCCCACCCCAGGCCGTCGCCACCCTATTATCTGGATCCATGTGAAAGGGTTAAGTTGACAGGCAGGCAGACAGGGCGGGGTCCAGTGGGAAACAAAGGCGGGTGGGACACAGGCAGGCAGACAGGGCCCTTTGAGCAACCGAATCACAGCAACCAACCACGCAGAAATAATAGGATGTTTCTGGACTCAGAGCAGGATTCCTGGGACCCAGGAAGGGCCTGCAACAACAAGGCAGACGAACGCATAGGAACAGGAAGGGACGCATGGAAGCAGGAGTTCAGGTCCGTGCTGGGCAAGCGCAATGAGGTGACAACACGGACAGAGAGAGGAACGGGCTTGTAGCAAATACATACCCTGGGCGACAAGGCTTCACGGGCAGCCCATCACGGGCCGTCCCCAGGCAGGGCGTCTGCATCTGCTTGCAGTAAACTTTCCGCACTTTTGCTCAAATCGTCTGGTCTGTGGAGCTCATTCCGCAGCGTCGCAGACCGACCCCGGGAAGAGCCCTCGGCTCACCGTTCCGGTTACCAGCTTTGGGGGCTTGAGCCTGCGATTCAGAGGCTTGCCAGGTGCCCGCCAGCCACTTAATCAGGCTGCCTCTCTAGCGGGCATTTTCTCTTTCACTTTCCAAATAAGGTCTTTGGCCTTTGGCCCATCTGAAACAGGGCTTGGGTCAAAAACCGTTAGGGTGGCTGCCACATGAAAAGGCCCATGGAGGGATGAGTGGGCTGTCGGACGGGTCAGAAAGCAGCAGGCTTCCTGCCAGTTGCAAGAGAAAGTCCGACCAATGACGAGTGCCTGGTCCCTACCCAGACTCCGAAGATCAAAGAGGCAAGTTCCTCCCTCTGGTTCGAGAAACTCCAATGTCCTTATGTAAGGACCATGCAGAGGTGTCTGGGGTTGACCCCTAAGACGTACAGGGGCCTCCTAGGAACTCCAGAATACAACTGTAAAATTAACCTCTGACCTGTCCAGGGAGTGCACATAACAGCTGGTCACTCCACGCTCTGGGTCCTCACGGCTGTTTAGAAACCCGGGGAGAGAACGGGCGCAAGAGGAGGGAATGACCAGCGGTTTCAGCCTCTGGGAGTTCCCCCCACAAGCAGCACACTTGGACCCACTACACACAGCCCAACCGGCCTGTTCCCTTGTCAGGATTTCTGTTGCCGGAGATCTGCTCAAACTTCCCTGCCTTCTCCTCCTGCCCGAGGCTGGGGGCAGAGGGACACTAAGTCCTTCGGATCCTGGCCCAGCTGGTTGGTCTGCCGTTCTTGGTGTCCCTGCCAAGGTGGGCCCAGCCATGCGTGAGCGGAGGACCCCCCATCCCCTCAGTGCCTCCTTGGACCTGGCCCCACAGACCTGACTCCGTCCAGCTCCTCGCAGCAACCTTGTGGGGCCCCGGGGGAATTCGGGTCTTCAGTAGAATGTTCGGGGAGCCTGGGAGGGAATGCCCTTGCCTGGGCCACAGCCTGGCCCTGGTGCTCACACCACACCATGTGCTGGCGAGCACTGAAGTAGGATGGGGAGGTAGATCAGGGCGATTCCATACATGAGGGCATTAGGTCACCAGACAGGATGGAGGAGGACTGCAGGGTTTGGGTTTATAGCAGTGCCTTCTGCAGTGCTCCCCGGTTCCTGGGACCTTTGAAATGCAAGTGCCTGGTCAAAAACTCCAGTCTGCGCCATCTTTAAAGGTACAAGTTTCTGGGAAAAACTTAGCCACATGTGCAGATCAAATTAACTCATTACAGCTTTCATTGCTAGATCGCCTTTCATCTTCGTTGCTTAAAGTCTGTAAGGTGGATTTGGAGCTGTTAAAATGTCATTGGCTTTGTTGAGAATGTGCTTTGAAACTATGTTTAAAATCCTATGTAATAAAACCCTAATATGCAAATTGACTGAATGGCTGAACAACCAGGGGAATGACTGGTCACTATGATGCACACTGGCCACCAGGGGGCAGACGCTCAGTGCAGGAGTTGCCCCTGGTCGGGGCGGTCGAGTGGGCAGCACCAGGTTGCCAGCCAAGGCAGATGCCAGCCTGGGGGGGGTAGGGGGGGGGAGGACCTGATTGCCCCACCCACTGGATGCCCCACAGATTGGCCCTGATTGCCGGCCAGGCCTAAGGACCCTACCTGTGCACAAGTTTTATGCACTGGGCCTCTAGTATGTTCATAAGGGTCAATCTAAGGAATGCTAGTTGTTTGCTTTTCTTGGTTTCTTGAGGATTGAGGCTTCTAAGAATTATTAATTGGAAATTATGTGATTTTGGTAATAAAAGGCATGGTGCATAGAGATGCATTTTGGAAACTATTCCTAAAAGTTGTAGAAAGGCTTGTGAAAATTAGAGAAGATTTATAAGGAAAATGTTAAAAGGAAATTAAAGCCAAACAGTGTGGGCAATTTGCAGACAGCTGTAACCATTATCTTCCCCAGCCAAGGACACAAAGTAAATGGTAAAAAAAACAACAAAAAAAACACCTCCCTACAGAAAGGGAGGAAAGAGGGGAAATAGGGGAAAAGGCTGTTTTACTCCCTCACAGAGAGGCTGGCAGCCCCCAGGCTTGGCAAGATCAAGTTGCCAGGTGCTTCTCATGACTTCTGAAAAGACGACAACAAAGTAACAGGGAATCTTGGGGATTGAGCTGCACTAGAATATCCCACGGAGCCGTGTTAAGACCTACAGTCAGGGGCGTGTGTGATGCCTGGGACCCCACTCAGCCTGCTCTTCCGATTGGCTGGGGGCCCGTCTATGCTTCATGAGCCAGATGTGTAGGTTTACTTGCTTTACTTTTTCAATGAAGATACATACTTCGGTTGCTTTAATTGATTGGCTTTTTACAATATAGTCAAGGTCTCATATAAATTCATTTATCTGAGAAGACAAAATTCAGGTTTTGTGACTTTTGTTAAAGGTATTCCTGATTTTTTGGGCTTTGTTTTTCAAATACAAGGAAACAGGACAATTTCATAAATGATACATTTCCCTCTGGATTTTGGCAGTCCATAATGAATAAGCCAATGTGTTTCTTTGCATGGGTTCAATGAGACCAGTTTCCAATGATAGTTTTAGTAACCAAGACTTTTGCTGGGGTGTGTGTCTGAGAGACAGGCTTGGACTCAATGCCGCCAGAAGACTCGGCGCCAAGGTGAGCGCCTTAGAGAAGAGCCTGGCACCTGCTTGGTACCACGGTTCATGGCAGTCTTTCCAGGTAAGGAACAAAGGTTGCTTTCCTGAGAGACAGTACAAAAGGACCGACCTCAAGACACCTGTGGGGACCTCACCTCAAGGACTGCACCCTGAATCTGCAGGCACTGCAGGCAGGCCTGATGCAGCTGGGTGGCTGGCTTCTTTGCCTGAGGGGCTCATTGAAGCTCAATCATGGGATTCTGGCAAAACAGCTTCTAAAGGAGCCTATACAGTCGGTTACTGTTCTTACTGTGTTCACACAAACCCTCAGACCAAATTAAAACTAGACTCAATACAATAAATAAATCGGTCTTTAATAAAAATAAGGGTAACTTTAGGGGGAATCATGTTTCAACAGACTCTATAATACACAGTTGTGAGTTGATTCCAATTAATTGTTTTAAAGTTTTATCTTTCACCTGTGAATTGAACTGAATCTTAAATTTGTCTAGTTTTCTTGGATGTTTAGCTACAACTCTCCAGACTAATACTTGCTTTTCTTCCATCCTTTACCTCTGATCATTGAACACTGAACACTTTCCTTTCACTGGGTCACTTGTCATAATTCTGGTTATTCAGTTTGTCTCCACCTGGTGACACGCCCTAGGCGCACACAGGGAAGACCATGGCCACCCCCTTCCGGTCCAGCCCCATCGTTCCTCTGACAGAGAACAAGAGTTTCTTATCTCTGAAGGAAAATGTCACCCCCATTAATGTGGGATTTGTTAGTCCGTTCCAGTCTGTGAAAAGGAAAGTTGTGTCTTTTGGTCAAATAAGTTTGACAACCTTCCCAGGGTTTGAATTAAGGAACTAGCCTTAGATGCGGGAGTCGGAGGCAGTCCTGCTCCTTACCAGAATGACAGGAGAGCCTGGAAGGGAAGACTCCTGCTCCGGAGGCGTGGCCTGCGTCTGGGGGCTACACCTTCCGGTAGGGAGGGCACAGAGGCCCTGGAGTTGAGGACTTTTTCTTTCGTGCGAAAAACAAGTAGAACAGAGAACTGGGAAGAGGAGGGCTGAGAGAGACTAAAGCAAGCCCTCCAGCACTACTGGCAGTGCCCCTCCATGTTCCAGATAAGTCATATGCTAGACACCTGTGTCATCAAGGAGATCACCTCAGGTGGACATAAAGCCCTAGGCTTGGCGAAAGTAGATTTCCATCCTTTCGACATAAGTCCCTCCTTACTGAAAGACTGGGGAGACCAGAATGAAAAAGATAGACCTTTTTTTAAATATATATATATATATATATATATATATATATATATATATATATTTCTTTATTGATTTCAGAGAGGAAGAGAGAAGGAGAGAGATAGAAACATCAATGATGAGAGAGAATCACCGGTTGGCTGCCTCCCGCACACCCCCCACTGGGGATCGAGTCCGCAACCCAGGCATGTGCCCTTGGCCGGAATCGAACCTGGGACCCTTCAGTCCTCAGGCCAACACTCTATCCACTGAGCCAAGCCAGCCAGGGCAAAAGATGGATCTTTTAATAGCAAGGGCATACATAGGAATAAGGCCGGAGTTGTTTGAACTCTCCCCAGGTC